TGTGCAGTGGAATAAGAACGGCAATTGGTTGTTGACTGCCTCACGTGATCATTTGATTAAGATGTACGATATTCGGATGATGCGCGAAATGCACACCTATAGGGGCCACAAGAAAGAAGTCACTGGTTAAGTTTTGATTTTATTTTTTAAAACCCGTAGCTTATTTGACATATCACGGTATGCCCCCGCCTCCTCTTCAGTACCACCACGCTGAAGTGGAGGAATGATAAAAGTTGAAGAGCGAGTGCTGCCTGTGATGGAGAGAGCGATGGAGCAAAAGATTCTTGAGGGGTCTCTTTGGGACCTATAAACAGTTGAACTGCCCATCTGATGGATGGCGCACAGAAGATTACTGCTACTGCATGAGAAATCAAGATCCGATAGACAGAGCATGTTGCACCGGTGAACGTCGCGCACCAGTGAGTAATATTAGCGGGTAAGAGGACGACCACTTGGACGGTCCCGAAAGAAATGAAGCAAAAAGTAGAGGTTTGCAATCCAGGGCCGAAGGGGCATGGCATATTTGGGCACGGTGTGCGGTAACTAGCAGTGAATACCAGCAAAGAATTTTCCATTGGTTTTGGTTTTCTGGAATTCAGCGATTTTAGTCCTCTTAATTCTGGTTTTGCCATATCATTTTTTTTTTATCGTTTTTTCTGTACTTGACTTAAATGTGTATGTTTTATTCGGTGTAAATTTTGTAGCTGTTGCTTGGCATCCGGTTCATGAAAGTCTGTTTGTGAGTGGTGGTGGTGACGGTTCATTGGCATATTGGATTGTAAACAGTGAAAAGGAACTTGGTTTCCTGGAACATGCACATGACCAGGCAATATGGACTCTGGAATGGCATCCGTTGGGCCATATTCTTGCATCTGGTACGTCTTTTAATCGAAAAAAAAGCAAGATTTTTTCTGCAAAATATTGGTCAAAAAACCAGGAAAAAATGAAAAAGACAGAGTGCGAGAATTTAGAGGCTTCGGAAGACGAAACTTAAAGTAATTATTAAAAAAGATTTTTAAAAAAGAAAAGCTAAGAACAGGGTAATTCTGCAACGATAATGAGATGTGGGACTAGTTCCCACAGTTGTTCATTCATTTGCTTGTTTTCATTTTCATTCCTTTTGCACTTTTTGATGTGGAAAGAGTGCGGGAGGTGGCAAGAAAGGGAGGGGAGGACGGGTGGGTGAGGGGAGAGTCAGGAGGAGGCTGAGGAGATGATTGGCTATTCGATAAATTTGATGTCCTTTCTGCATGTAATTCTGAGAAACATCTTCCGAGGTAATTATATATTTTACTTTTTTTTCAGGCTCAAATGACAATAATACGAAATTTTGGGCTCGAAACCGACCAGGTGATACGCAAGAGGACATTTTCGGATTAGCATCACTTCCAGGTCCGGCAGCAGCGCCAATAAAGGAAACCAGGACGGAAAAAACTGCCGATGAAACGACGTTTGTGCCAGTAATTCCAGGTGAGGCTCATTTTCTATTGGTTTAGTTTCATTGCGCTGGTTGAAAGAGGAAAGCTCGAAATGACCTTGCTGACAAGTAGCAAACTGGTGCCTAGGGATTTGGACCATTTATACACTTTCTTGCACAATCATATCACCTAAATTTTCTTATGATTAAAAAAAAACCAGAAAAATAACAAGGATAATAACAGTGCAAGTGAACGATTAATGAAAGACTCCTTTTTACTGTCAGGCGGATCTTCTAAGTTTGGCGTAACCTTAGGACCAAGAGGGCACTAGTTTCCGACACTGCTCTTCGGTGACTTCCAGGACATATGAGGAGTTAACGAAGTAGCCAAAAAACAAGCCAAATTACCAGGCCAAGCCAAAATAGCTGTTCTTTGTCAACTGCCATGGTACTTGAAAATTAGATTGCCAAAAGGTTAACCTCACTCAAAAAAGGACCGCATTTCCTTGATATCCAGAACTGCAGTCGCAAGGAGCCGCATTTTTTTGCCACCCAGAAATCGCACTGAGAAACTTTTTCTGATCACATCTTGCTGAAGTCAAGGATTTTCACTTAAATAGGAATCACATCACCTTAACATCCAGGATTCACACTTGGAATGGGATCGCATCTTCACGAAATCCAGCATTCAACTCAATAGAGTATTCGGATTTTCTCGACATCCAAAACTCTTACTCAAAAATGGGTTACTTTTTGATATCCAGGACATTAGAATTCTGGTCAAGCGGTAGTGTTTTCCCGTATTATTAGCTGTTTCATCTAAACAGAAATATATTACCGGCTGAACCGTCCCGATGCGTGTACGTTGTCGACGTAGTGTCCAAAGTGACAAATCGCATCCCTTATTCACACTTGAACGGCACAGAAAGCCTTTTTCCGATGTGTTGTAATAAAATACCAATTTGAGAAAAGCCAGAAATATAGGCGCTCAAGTTTGAATTAATTTTCCCCCAGTGTCGTATCGCTCTTGAAGGCATGGGATTGGACGATGATGTGTTTCTGGGAATGCAAAAGAAGGATGCAAGAACAACTGTTGGTGGTCCGCCAGTTGGAGGGCCGTTACTTTTCCCAGAAGATCCAAATGCACGTCAGCAAGTGAGTTAATTTGATTACCAGGATTATGATGTTTTAAATTATTGAATAGAAAATAATGAAACTGTATGAAATAGATGTCCAGCTGAGGCAGACACGAAAAAATGAATTAATAAAGGAATGGAAATTTTTCATGAACAAACATAAGTTGCAATGAAGTAAATTTAAACTATGAGTGGTCATCCTGGTGGTCAGCCAGCTGCCCATTTTGGCATT